TCCACAGTGTCAGTCCTATATGGGCCTCTGTCCATCCATCTTTTACTTTTATACTTTATAATAATAATTCACGCCAAAAGCTATCACCATCTTCATTGTTTCTGCATTCATCAAAGTCAGGAAATTATTTATGGCCAAAATGTTGATGGATTATGTCTTCCTGTCCTCTAAATTTATTCTTGTTTACATTTACTAAAGGACATTATAACCTTTGGACCCAGGAGCCTGAAAGCTTTCCTGGAGGACCTGTTTGTTACACGCAGTTTTGTATTTGAGCTTTCTTGCTTGTAGATAGCTTTTGTGTCACTAACAGTTTCTAAAATTATTCTTATAGATTAGCAATCTCTTTCAGAGAACAGACATGAAAAGATGTAGACTGCTGTCCTATAAGTCCTGGTCTACACACAGTTTTTTACCGCTAAAACTGTTGGGGATATGGTGGGGCAGTGACTGTTTTTACAGAAATAATTCTATAGTATAACCCCTTGTGTAGACACAGTTACACTGGTGTAAAGTTACCTTATCAGTAAAGTTTCTTCCCTTTCCTGGAAGGGAATACCAAAATAAAGCACCTTCATACTAATATCACTTCATCACCACTGGGAGCTTATGCTACTTTAACTATACCAGTATAATCAAAGTGATACAACTTTCTAGTGTAGACCAGGCCTAAGTCATGAGGTGTGAAGAGTCCTGAAATTACTTTTTTAGTCTTTTCTATTTAAAAAAAAAAGATAATGAATAAAAAAAAGAGAAGTATATTTTCTTTGGGGAATTGATATAAAAATTCCATTTACCCGTATGTAGCATGTGTTGTCAACTAGTTCAAAAGCAATGGTTGAAATAATAAATATATATAATCTTTTTAATTCTCATTTATATGTCACCGTTGTATTGTTTACTGCAGTTCATCAGTAGGATATTTGCAGCCTCCAGGATCAGAGCCAATGCAGTTTCCTAGAACATCTTCCCCATGCAACTCACAGCAGCTTCAAGGACAACAGTGTACAGGTATGGGAATATAACTTTGGTGGTTGGTGAAGTAATCAGAACTACGTTTTCTGAATGACTAAGAAAAAGTTCTAGCTATTATTATGCTGTGTATTTTGATAAATGCAGCTGAAAGCGGGCAATTTAGAATTAATCCATGCATTAGCTTTATAGATATATTTTAAAACCAGCAGTTGATGTCACTGAGGTATATTGGGGATTTAGCCTGATTTCTCACTGTTGTTTGCCTCATGTTATGGAAAGCTTATAAATAGTTTTTCTCTAAAATGTAATGACATATTTCAGTATGCCGTGGTTGAGAGTTGAGACAGGAGAAGATTGCAAACACAAACTAAATTATTAATGAAGAGATCATTTTTGAAAGACAAGGGAGTTTACTGAAATATTTCTCCCTTACTATTTATAACTTGCAATACATCATAGTAATTGAACATGTTACAGTTTGGAGCTTTTGTGCAACTTCTGCTCAAATTCACTTTCCTAAATCTTGTTGGTTCCTATGGTTTTATGTAGGCTAGGATTCCACCTATATTTTAAAAAGGAATAAAATTTAAATTATTGGTGGATCCCCTTAAAGTTATTCAGTAGGGATGATTGCTGATCTGTAAGGATGATTGTATTTCCTTCCAGCTGGCCATATAGTCTAGAATTGGGACATCTAAGTTTGAGACTTGATTTTGCACCTGATCCAGCAGAGGCTGGGTACGTCGTGGAAGCAGTGTAGTTAGCTCCTGTGCTCAGGAAACAGATTCTAGTTTTCATCAGTTGAACCAGAAACAACAATGGAGAAGTCCTGGTGTGGGAGAGGAGGGAAAATAGTAGGCATTCTTCAAGCTATGGGCAGGGGGACAGTAATTTGTTCAGCTAGAGGTCACAGGAAACCAACTCCTCCAGGATTTTTATATGGTAGGCTTATTCACTGCTTTTACTTTCCTAATTTATAACAATCATTCTGTCCAAAGAAGTATAGTAAGTTATCAGATTGTTGTAATAGTTAGTCAAGTTATCAGCTGTCACTTTAATTGTGTCTGTATGAAGTATATTCACTGTTTCCTTTATCCCCCACCGACCTTCTCTCCACTGATATAATTATAAAATTTAAAAAAATGAAACTCCAGACAAAATAATGGCTAATTTCAGTGGCTTTATTTGGGGCAAGTTTCTCCAGGTGAGAATGTGATTTGGCAGAATCACCTGGCTAGCTTAAACCACCTTTCCGAATAAAATGGTGTGTTTGTGCATGTATTGAAATAAATAATAAACCTGATAAATAAGAATAATAGTAGTAGTAGTAGTAATAGTAGCAGGCATATGGAGCTTTTCACATACAAAGTGTTTTACAAACATTAGTTTGCATTGTTGTAGCCATGTTGGTCCCCAGGATATTAGCGAGACAAGGTGGGTGAGGTAATTATTTTTTATTAGACCAACTTTTGTTGGTGAAAAAGATGGGCTTTTAATCTTATACAGAGCACTTTTTCAGGTCTGGGAAGGTGTCACAGCTGAATACAAGTTGGAACAGATTGTTTAGCTTAAGTAGTTAGCGCATGTTGTAAGAGGCCATTCAAGGTTAAGTGGCCAGTCATAGGACAAAAAATGGGGGCTACTGGGTTGCAGATTGTTGTAATAAGCCATAAATCCAGTGTCTTTATTAAGTCCATGATTTTTATTTCCTAGTTAGAGGTACGATTTTAAGTTCTTGGCTCATCTTTTGAAGGTGTTGTGCAGATTTCCTTTGAAGATGAGGACTGAGAGGTCATATATGGGAGTGATCGTTTTGTGAAACATGTTCACTCCTGAGTAAGGCCCTACTTAATTTACAATGTTGCAGAAATTGCAGATCCCGCCATATTGTGCTTCCACTGCAATTTTGACAGCAGGAGCCCCTGCTCTTAGCCCTGGGCATCCGACAGCAGAAAATCGCAGAAAAGTAATAATGGATCTTATTACTGCAAATAATAACGTCCATTATTACTTTTCCACAATTTTCCATTGCTTGTCTGCAACTCAGCCACGATTTTTTTATTTTTATTTTTTTTACAATCATCCTGCGATTCAAGTAGGGCCTTACTCATGGGTGAGGTGGCATTTTTGTCTTTTATAATTTCTCTGTGTGATTGTCTGGTTTCACCTACTTAGTTGTTTGGGCACATAATGCAGTGGATGAGGTACATCACATGTTGTGATAGGCATAGTGGGACCCAGGAGTTTTGAAAGGTGTGTTATGGGAGTATTTATGATCACAGCAGTGGAGATATGCCTTCAGGTTTTACATCTCTCTTTCTGGCAGTGTCTGGTGCAGCTTTGAATTGGTGTTTCTCAGTCTGTGAAGAGTTTGCTTCTGTTGATGAGCTTGGTGGGTACAAAGACCAGAAGATGGAGTTCAGGAAAGATTTCTTTGAGGATGTGGTCACCATCGAGTATGGGGTTGTAATTGTTTGATGATACCCCATATGGTGTCCAGTGTGACAACTAAGGGTGTGCTGTCAGAAAGGTGTTTTTTCCCTCTATTGAAGCAGTGTATTTGGGGTAGATATCTGAGTGGTGTCCGTTGTTTTGTAGATATTTGAGGCAGGCAGTGATGCTATCATTGTGAGTAATGTTGGTGTATGGGGGTGAGGGGATTACATCCATGATGATGTTCTGAGGAAGATTGTTGATGTAGCAGTGTTTCTGGAGGAAGTAGGTTTTGTCTTGGAGGAACCTGGTCCTCTGTGTGGTGATGAATCCTGATATTCTTTCAGTAAGAGTGCCATGGCCAGATGGGATGGGTCTACCTGGGTTCCCTTGTTTGTGTATCTTGGGAAGCATGTAGATCTCTGGAGTGGGTTCATGGGGGATAAGGATGCAGAGCTTCTTTTTGAGGTGTTTGGGGAATGATTAGATGATGATCTTGGGTGAATTCTGCTGTGGAGTCATCTTTGAGTTCTTTATAGTGGTGTCAGAGTTTTTGGTTGGTCCTATTAACGTAGTCATCACAGGTGAGGGCTGTGATGGCACCACCTTTTCTGTTGGTTTGATCACTATCTGGTGGTTGGATTTCAAGGACTGTATAGCTGTCCTCTTAGCAGTGCAGAGATTGTGATATGTTTAAGGATTTCACAGACAATTTTTTTCCTGAAGCTGTCGATGTAATGATCAAGTGTGTGGTTTCATCAGTTTTCAGGTGTCCAGTCAGATGATTCATTTTTCCTGTGACTTGGTAGGAGCTGGAGTTGAGGGTGGTGTCATGATTGTTTAAAAATAACTAGTTGAGGTAGAGACAGTGAAAGAAGTCTTTTCTAGTTCTTCACAAGTTAGTATGATATCAGGTTTTGTGATGGGTGCAGAAGTTCAGTCCCATGGAGAGTACAGATAATTCAGGGGTAGTCTTGATAAATTGATGATGATGGAGTATTGTATAGTATCCATGTGGTGGGTCCTGGTACCCCAGTGTTTCCCAAAGGTGTTCAGTGGGTTATGGAGTGCTGTAGAAGCTTTCACTTCTTGTTTTTGTGTTGGATAGCTGTCATAGGGTTTTTTGATAATTGTTTTGGGTTAAAGTTTACAACTGAACGTTGACTTAATACAGCTTTGAAACTTTACTGTGCAGAAGAAAAATGCTGCTTTAAACAGTCTTAATTTAAATGAAACAACACAATTTCCTTAACTCATCAAATCTTTTTTAAACTTTCGCTTTATTTTTTTAGTACTTGACGTTTAACACAGTACTGTATTGTAGTTTGGGGTGGGTTTTTTTTGGTTCTGCTGCTGCCTAATTGGACACTTAC